ATAATATATATAATATAGCTGGTTTTAAAATATTCCCTTATCATTGGTGTACTAGGTCATCTTGTAGTCACTTGAATGTAGTTAGCAGCATTCTCCAGAACTGAGCATAATGCAGGATCACGGAGCCGTGACACCTTATGTCGTCAGAAAGGTTACAGAAGATCAATGCGTCGAGAACTCCACGAAAACTCACTCACTGCAGCACACACCATCTTGTCTTGAGCCGGCAGGCAGCAGACAATAAATAGATTACTGCAAAAACCGGCACTTTTCGGGGCAGGGTATCAGTAACTTTGGGAAAGAACTTTGGTTTTCTTTGGTTTTTTCTTTCTTTATTTTCTAATAATTTTGTTTGTTTGTTTGTTTTTCTTATCCTCCTCTGGGGATCTGCTTGAAAAGTTGTCCTTTCCAAAAAAAAAACCAACAAAATAAGCACCTGTGTGTCATCAACAACAAGAAGTCAATTTAAATAGAGCAGTTTGTTTTGTTTTTCAAGTCACAATAAATCCCTAACAGCTTTTCCCCAGCGTTTGCCACCTAGTCTTTTATTCTTTTTTTTTTTTTTTAAACACAATGTACAAAAATAGAGCTTCTTCCTTATTTTTAATGTAAAAATATTCCTCTGGTGCAGTTTTTTTTTTTTCTTTTTCGTGGTTTATTACTGTGACACTGTTTTTTGTCTATTTTTAACTGGGGTTGGTGGGTCGTATTCTCTTAGTCCTCTTGGTGACTGTTGTGTACTTGAAAGGTTTCTGTATCTCCACTTGCCCCTTTGGGTACCTCTTCATAAAATGTACATCTTGCTGGTTTTCCCGGGTCTTGGGCCCTTTCCGTGGCCTCCCTTTTTTGGTGAATCCAACATACCAGCCTGAATATTTTGCTGACATCAGCGCCGTGTAGTTGTTTTCTAGGACTTTCTCAATGAAGACGCACTCCTTACTGGTGCCATCAGGCTGAAAAAGGAAAAACAAGAGGAAAAAAACCCATTATCCAAATGCAAGCTCAGTGACCAAAATCCGATTTGGCATAAATAAAATCATCACATCTGGACCTTGTTTTGGTTTCAAACATCGTTAATAGGAGCCATAACAAGCATCAGCTGAAACAAAAATGAGTAAGAAAGTATGAAAGCATGAGGTCATAATTTCATTTTTTAAACACTCCTATCCAAGGAGAGAAAGATGTTTCAAAGACAGTTACATTTACGCAGTCCAGCTCCTTCAACTGCAAGCAAAGCAAAGCTTTGCTTTTCCATTAAGAAAGGAGGACAAATTGAACTTGTGCCAGTAAAACATCATACTTCATCAGAAAAAATAAAACAAATCAGAATTTCATATAGGCCAAACAGCAGTGTTTCCTCTTCTATCCTTTTGGTATGTTTTATGAAAAGTCTTATGAGCTTGCATCCGTACTACCCAAATCCCACTAAAATCATTGCAAGCCTTAGTCTAAGTCTTCCCACTGCTTTGAAAACAATCCCCTGGCAGCATCCTGGACATGATACCTGACAAATGAACCCCATGTGGAGCTCCAGGCACGAGCCAGCGGGGTGCAGGAGGTGTTGAGATCCCTGACCCCACTCTGGTCCCTAGGACCCTGCAGAGCCCCGAAGCCAGGGGTTATTTCCCAGCCACACTGCACATCCCAGGCTCAGATCCAGCTCACATCCCTGATGCTGATGTTGCTACACCAGCAGTGCAAAGGACTGTTCCCATGCCAGAACAACTCCCCGGATGGGACAGCATCCCACCAGCATCCTGATGGGATTGCAGCTCGAGGACAGTGCGGCAGCAGTGTTCTCAGCCACCAGCCCCACCCCAGCTCCACTGCCAGAGGAGGTGACCCAAGGGCATGGTTTTACACCCTCTCTCAGAGTAGGCTTTTTTTGGAAGGGAGTTTAGATTCTGGTAGCAGAGGGGACATGGTCCCTCCCCTTTCCCAACCTTTCAATCTCAGCCTAAAATCAGCCACCTAAAGCTTAAGGAGCTGGCTTAGCAAGCCATGTCCCTAAGTTACTTTCCTCCTTGCAGAGGGAGCTAGGATTAGCGCAGAACTGGAGGCCAAGAGCTCCTGAGTCCAGAACTGGACTTTGAATGCAGCAGCACATGGATCTCACAGCACACACAGCACTGGAGTGAGTTGCAGCATCTTTAAATCCTTCAGCACAGAGAGAATTCTTTTCACATATAATCTTCTGCCAGAAAATATGTTTTGCCCTTTAACTGCTGACATACTGGTGCTGCACCTAGAATGTCACATGTCGTTGTGTACACTTTGTTTTATGTGTCTAAAGATATTACAGAGTAGATACAGGCTCACTTCAGCCCTGGGTGTTTTATGGAACCCAGACAAGGCTAAGCAGAGTAGGGAGCATCATACAGAACCTTACCTCATGCTCAGCAAAGCCGAAGGAAGGATTTTCATCATAGTACGACACCAAACCAACTCTCCACTGAAGTCAAATGAGTTTTTCAGTACCGCAGGCCTATGCTTCCACCTCTGATCCCCAAACAACCATGTACAAGCTACAAACAGAGCTGTGAGATGGGAGCCATCAGGCACAACAACCCAAGCTGGAGTCACCCAGGCAACAACAGAGGAAAAGCTTTGCCATCACCAGCCTCCAGGACCTGCCATCCCTCCCTGGCTTAATACCTTTAGCAGAGCTTCAGTTCAATCCATGCAACAATATGTGATGTTTACTCTAAAATCATCACTAATGCACCATCCTGGCCAAAGGGTCTCATTACCACAGGCAGGTCTCATTAAGAGGGCACGGGGGATCACAGCAACTTCTGCATCACACATACTAATCCAGGGTCCATATTCCCTATACATGCCCCCTGTATAGGGCAAAACCAGCTCTGCCACAGGACCAGCATTCTTCGTCCCTGGCTAGGCACAAAGGTCCTAATTTTATCATGTACAACTGGAAGCTCACAAATGCTTTAATGAATGGCAGAACTGGGCAAAGCTCAGTGGTTCCAGTTCCTGGGGCGGTTGTTGTCCAAGCCCTGGTTTGATCAAAGCCACATGAGTGGGGAAGGGGGAAATCAATCAACACCACGGGGTTCCACCAGGTTTCAATGGGAAGCCATAAAACCAGCCCCAGGTTTCTCAGGGCTCAGCCCACTACAAACCCTTCCCCAGTGAATAGCGAATTCTTAAACAATGCCATGGCTGAGTTTCAAATCCACCCAAACCCAGGTGCTGATGAGCTGACCGGATCCGTACCGCAGGGGGAGCAGGTAATTGGAAGGGCTGTTTCCCCCACTCTCATGGAAAGGTCCTGGATTTGAGCCCTGACCTTGTTGCTAGGAGAATTAAGGCTTTTTTTTTTTTCATGCAATTTGGGAGGTTTACGCTTATCCTGCAATGTCAGTTTCTCATGGAAAACCAAGACTGGAATGAAAAGAAAACATGTGTGTAGGAGGGGGAAGTTATTCTATTAATAACAAAAAAGTATTTACTTATACCTTCAAATTTGCTGACAGAACCTAAGATGGAGACAGGAGGTGGAGGAATAACAAGGTGCAACTTTAGGCCAACCTCAGGGCTAATTTGAAGTAAACAAGGTGAATGAGATAAAATAACTTGGTTCTGGAAGAGGAAGAGCTAAATGATTTGATGACATGAAATTACAGTAACATTTACAAGTACCTTGAGATAAATCAGGATAAGGACCTGACTTCCCCAAACAGAGCATTCCTGTATGTGCTAAGACATGTCAGAGGCAGACAAATGATTTTCAAATACTTACAAGATGATTTTACAGTATCTGTTATAATCCCCAATAGAATAAATTGCTCACACACGTTACCTACACCATGGAGAGTTGGACCTCTATTAGGGGGAAAAGGTTTATAAGGATTTTCAATAATTTTTAAGTGTCACTTTGTTTTTACCAAATGCCCATCACATAAGGTCTTATCATGCCCCTATTTAAATGGCAGCAAAACACTCACTGGGTTTGTCACCCATCCCCTCGCCCCTCCAAAAAGAGGAGGATGGAAAAGGGAGACAGTGTTGGGTGAGCATCACCCCTTTCCCCAGGAGCTCCCAGTGCACACGCTGCTGATATGGGGCTGCACCCTCCGCTGCAGCATCAGCCGGGAAGTGCTGCCAAGCCACATTTCATACATGCTTAGCTGTCAGGGTGCACCTTGCAGAGCGCTCACCCTTCAAAACATGGAGGCTTGTTTTGAACTGATGCTTTAAAATAAAGAAGAGCTCTTGAAAGCCTCGGAGCTGTGCAGGAATCACCTGGCCTGGTGTGATGCCACTGCCATGCAACAAGAAGAACCCACATTCAGCCCTGCATCCCCACCAGACCCGCATCATGGTGTCCCACATGTGCTTGGGGGATGAGCTGCTCCCACATTTCACTCACCACCATCCCACAGGCAGCATCTCCAACCAAGCTCCCTGCTCAAAGCAGGGCGAGAGCCATTGCAGAGGCACAACCCTGCTCCTGCGAAAGGCAAGGCTCTGGTCAGGCCAGCACCTCCTTGTACCTGTGACAAGCCACCCCCAAACTGCCAGAGGCTGCTGCTTGACCCTGCGACAAGGCCATGCCGTCACGGAGATGACACCTTGCAGCTCAATTCTTTGCAAAGATAATTCAGAGCACTTTTTGTTTAAGCACACCCCGGGCAGCCATGGGAAGACGTGGTAGCTGTTAGCCAGGCTCCTGACAAATGTCTTATAAAATGCCTGATCTAAATGCCACCTTCCACAGAAATCCCTTGAGCATCACCCAGGTCCATGAGGAGGCAAGGGAAAGCATAGCCCAGGCAGCATGAAGCACTGGCTCCAGTGGAGCATGTCCTCTACATAATAGCAGGGAACCACCTCCAAATGCCCTGAGCTTACCAAGGAGCAGCACCGGATTGTTTGTGCAGAGCATTTGGCGACAGGCTCTCCGGTATTAAACGTGAAACACGTTGAACTGACACTAAAGCAGAATTAAGTGCCAAAGCATTTGCTGCTTCTACAATTACACTCCGGAGTGCTTTGGTGCTCCTGCTCTCCTTTTTATGACCCAACTTGGTCTTATTGTAGTTTGGCTTTCTTGTTTTAAGTTCTCCAAATGGAAAGGATCAAAGGGCTCTTTGTTGTTG